AACTACTTATCTAAAACATTTAGTCCATGAAAAATTAAATGACATTTACCTACAGAGTTGGACAAGTGCAAGAGATAAAGTCCTCAAAAGGCACAATGTATAGTATTATAAAAAAATGATTGCTTGAATTTTGAATATTATTTAAACGTACTGCGGGAAAACGTTTGGCGAGTCTTACTTAAGTTTAGAACTTGTAATCATAATCTACTTATTGAAACTGGGAGATTGAGAAAAATACCTTATCTGACAGAGATGATGAATTCCATTATTTGTTCATTAATCCATCCTTAGAAAACGACAGAAAACATTTTCTACACAGATTCTACTACTTCAAACCCAATATCCATCAAATGAATTTACTTTTCAATTATTCACGATAAAGAACATCGAGACAACTTTACCGACAACTCAAAATTATGTCATTGACTTGCACATTGAACTGCGCATATATTGCTACCCTAGAGAATCTGTATAAATATACATGCATGCTCGGCAAAGATGTTTTTGCATCTAGCTTGTTTGTTTGTTGTTTAACGCCGCACTCAGCAATATTCCAGCAATATGACAGCGGTCTGTAAATAATCGAGTCTGGACCGGACAACCCAGTGACTGACACCATGAGCATCGATCCACGCAGTTGGGATACGATGACATGCATCAACCAAGTCAATGAGCCTGACAACCCGATCCCGTTAGTCGCTTTGAATTATTTTGTACCTCTGATGCCGCTGATAGCGGCGTGAGTGAAAATAAAAGTTCCTTTCATCCATGGTATCCCAGTGGGCTAGCACTATAAAACCAGCATCAGCACAAATACACACACAGGCATAAACGCGCATTGTACACATGTCGACCTCCGTTAACGCCGTTACCAAATACGAGACGATGCCACTGTGTTAACATGACAACAACCAGGACGGGAGATGGGGCGATATGTGATTTATCTGGCAGTAACGTTCCCTTATCAAATAGAATCATCGGGCATTCTGCAATATGATCCAGGGAAGGCTTCCCACGTGTTTTCACAAACCACGTGACAGTGACCACATCAAAGGAATGTCGATCTACAGTTAGACATTAACACTTTGCGTGTGTGGGTCTTTTCTCAAAGGATTTGTGTACGCTTATGGTCAAATCGTTCATCACTGATTTGGATTTCATTACATTGTAACACAACATAAAGCCCATTTGTTGGAATTAAAACAACGCCATCAAGGATGCTACGATTAACAATGGCTTTGTGATGACGACATGCGATTCCAACATTGACGAAAGCACAGTTTATGGCGCAATAGAAAACAATCCAAACTCACATTTCATAGGGCCGGAGGTTTCATGTTAGCCCCTACAGTGACGTAATGTGCAGCTGACTCCCCCGTATCTCACCCGGGAGTGAGATCGGATTCACATCGAGGCTATCAATCTTCAGCTAGGTCACGGTGACCTTTAGGACAGAGGACGGGTTTGGTTTGGTTTGTTTGTTGTTAACGCCGCCCTTAGCAATATTCCAGCTATATGACGTCGGTCTCTAAATGATCGAGTCTGATTGCCATCATGAGCATAGATCCACGCAATTGGGATCGATGAAATGCATCATCCAAGTCAGCGAGCCTGACCACCCGATCCCGTTAGTCGCCTCTTACGACAAGCATAGTCGCCTCTTACGGCAAGCATGGGTTGCTGTTGACCTATTCTACCCCGGACCTTAACGGGCAAGAGGGCGAGGTAACATTCAGTGAGTGAGTTGGGTTTAACAGTATTCCAGTTATATCGCGGCGTGTCAGCTTAATGTGGGAGGAAAGCCCGAAGTGATGCAGGTCTCAGACGTTTACCACTTCGGTGAAACCCACGAGCACGGGTATGGTGCTGGCAAACGTAGAAACTTAACTCGGCCGAACCAGGATTCCTACCCACAATCATTGGTTTCTGGCATGACCAAGGAAAGCAACTCTGTACAGCGAATTGCGGCGCCTCAGACGACTGGGCCACCCGGGCCCTCTATTATGTTTAGATTATTTCACAATAATATTTTCCACCTGTAATACCCGTTTTCCTATAAAATAAGTTTTATAGATTTTAAAGGATAGGTGCTTCCTTGCCTCCAAGAACGCTAAAATAGTCGGGTCAAGCAGAAGTCAAGGTAAACCTTGAAAAGACCAACCGCGCTAGAACAGCCAAACCACGCCCTTGAACCAGATCTCTAGGTAAACCTAGCAAAGACTAGCCACGCCAGAATAGCCACACCACGACCATGCACTAGGTGTGAAGGTACGAAACTGCCCCCGATGTCAAATGCTTGAGTTCGCAAGGTTTGGTGCAGCTGTCAAGTTCAAGCATGTTGGTAGTTTAATGTAGCTATGGTTCTCGCGGCATTTTAGTGCTTAATGCAGCTATGGTTTCGCGGTATTTTAGTGCTTTAAAGCAGCTATGGTTTCGCAGTATTTTAGTGCTTTAATGTAGCTATGGTTCTCGTGGCATTTTAGTGCTTTAATGCAGCTATGGCTCTCGCTGTATTTTAGTGCTTTAATGCAGCTATGGCTCTCGCGGCATTTTAGTGCTTTAATGCAGCTATCGTTCTCGCGGCATTTTAGTGCTTTAATGCAGCTATGTTTCTCGCGGCATTTTAGTGCTTTAATGCAGCAATGGTTCTCGCGGCATTTTAGTGCTTTAATGCAGCAATGGTTCTCGTGGCATTTTAGTGCTTTAATGCAGCTATGGTTCTCGTGGTATTTTAGTGCTTTGATGCAGCTCTAGTTCCCTCCGCATGTCTGTGGTTTCAACCAAGTCACCAAGACTGATAACCCAATTCTTTAAGTCAGCTTGAATGACCAGAACAGGTTGTTTGGGATCAATTCAATCCCTGCATCACCAGGATGTTACACTGTGAGCAGTGCACTGTCATGATAACATACAAGACAACAATAAATTCATGATAACTTATTTAATGAAAATAACTTGAGATAAGAACAAAGCATTATTTAAAAATGGCTGCCATATCTGTACAAACTATCACTGATTAAAATTTGGAGCTTAATGATCAGCACTTTACCATGTTTACTGCATGATGGTAAAACAAAAACAAATCAGCTTCATAATCACCAGCGCTAACAAGCTTGTCAGAAGTTGATTATGCAGCAAACCAGAGGTCAAATCATGACCTAGGTACTTCTAACAATGCATACTATACAAACAGTACGACTCTTGCCTGTCAAACAATAGACCAAGATGGAAAATCTTCAAAATGCTTAAACCGGCAACCAAACTGAAATCTGAAATTCCCCTAAATTTCCCCCCAAATGCCTTTGAGAATCAGTGAACATAAGTCATCAGGATGCATTTTCCTTCATCAATATTGTTTGTTTGCATTTAAGGAAAATTGGAAAAGTTGAACAAAATGAATACTACTTCCTTTTTGATAGGGATGTTTTTATCTTTCATGATACAATATGACGTATCTGATCATCCCTTTCAAAAATTGAGTAGTATATATGTACATGCAAAGAGGATACAAGTAATATTACAGCCATGTCATTGAGGCCTGTAACTAATCGAGTCAAGAGCCAGACAAACCAGCAGTTGACAGCTCGGCACAACCATCAATATTGGCAGCATAACACACAGCTGGCCAGGTCTAACATAGCATCCTGATCTCTATTTCAGCCATCACAACAAAGGGTGAGTGAGTGAGTGAGTTGGGTTTAACGCCACTTTTCACAGTAATCCAGTTATATCGCGGCGTGTCAGCTTAATGTGGGAGGAAAGCCCGAAGTGATGCAGGTCTCAGACGTTTACCACTTCGGTGAAACCCACGAGCACGGGTATGGTGCTGACAAACCTAGAAACATAATCGGGGCGAACCGGGATTCGAACCCACAATCATAGGTTTCTGGCGTGCCCACGGGACTCAATTCTGCACAGCGAATCGCAGCCCCTTAGACAACTGGGCTACCCATGCCCCCCCCCAACAACAAAGGGAGTAGTTCTACTCCAGAATGCCCATCAGGTCAATACAAAGTGACACAAACTGATTTGCATATTGAAATGAATTGAATATAAAAATGGCTTAAAAGAATTGAATCAAAGGACATGGTATGATCAGGGCCATGTTTTGTTCACAGGATCTGCATGATTGAAGATGTTAGCAAACCTTTTAGAAACGTGAGTTGGGTTTAACACTGCTTTGAATAATATTCAAGTTGCATCAAGGTGTTTCATCTTATGACAGAGGAAAGCCCCAAGTGATGCAGGTCTCAGACATTTACCACTTTGGCAAACACCATGAGCACAGGTGTCATGGTGACAAACCTTGAAATATAATTGGGGCAAACTGGGATTCAAACTCACATTCATTAGAGGTGAAACGATACAGCAAGGTCACGATACAATATGTATTGCGATACAATACGGATCGAGATATGAATATCTATGTTAAATTGCATGGAAATGTCTTGACTATAAATATTTCAGAGCAGGTTCAAAAGGAAAAGCTAGCGGTAGACACATGTTCGTTGCGGCTATTTTTAGTTGTGAACTCAAAAAACACTTTTTGATATTTTTGACTGACAAAAACTCGGGGGGGGGGGTCATGGGGGGTCATGAAACGAGCAATAATGTATTTTAGCAAGTGTATCATCTTGTACCAATAGAGAAAAAAATGTTTTGTGTTACTCACGATGCACCGGTGCACCAATGTATCATTTCACCTCTAACATTCATACATAGCTGGCCTGCCCCTGCCCCCAAACCTATCAGAAATTGTTTTGACAGTAGTCAGATGTGTTCCCATGAAAGAGAATTAGACATTGTAGATGTATTGATGTTAGAAACAAACAGGTCAGACTAAAATGTTTTCACAAGACTGATTTTAATCATTTGAAAAGGCACTTTTGTAATATTTGAACAAGGGCAAATATTCGATTGAAGCTGATTTCTAAGAAATGGATAACAGTTGTAACATGGTAAACATTCATCTTCGGTCCTGCTCTTATTTTTGCCCTGAAGTGTGAAATGTCATCCTTCTTCACTCCATCCAACCATGTGAACCATGTGTTAATGTCAGGTCCCCGTTCCACAAAGTGATGATAGAGCTACGACTGTCATGAGTCTATGTTAAAGTATTGGAGTTACGATCTTACCACTACATTTGCTTTGTGGAATGAGACCCAAGTCAGAAGTAAAAGCTTGCAACAATGACAAAAGAAAAAACACACGCTGTGGGCCTTTTTAACATGTGTTATGCAAATTGTGTTCGGGGGGACATGCTTACCTTTTTCACTATTTTACCTTTTACTCCCAAAGGAATCCTATTCCATAGATTACTGGTTTTTCTCTGCTTTGATGTTTTATTTTCAGACTTACTTTAAAGACCAAATTTGAAATTTTCAATTTGGCAACAAGGGCCTATATCCTACCTTGTCCTATTCTAGGAATGATGATTGTTAGGAGTCTTGTTCCCCTTGCGATGTTGAAATCAATGTTGTTGGTTTCTTTTTATTTGTTGTAAGGTGTGGGATTTATCCTTTTACAGGACGTATGCATAATAAATAACAACAGTATAATTTAACTTTAGGCCTTTAACAGATCAGTATTAAACATCAGGCACCAGAAAACAAACCTACACTTCTCATGTGGGTGTTGACAGGAAAGTTTTAAGGAATATATGAGATGAGAAGCACAATAATTGAAAGTAAATTTCAGATATAAAGACTTTGTGTTCCAGGTGTATCAGTTAACAACTATGATAAGAGCTCAAACACAAAAACACTTACTCTTGATATATACAGATAACAAGAGAGTATGAATGATCAAATTCTTCAATTCAATTGTAGCAATTGCTTAATGCTGCTCAGAAATCTTGCAACTATTTGCCATGAAATTGTAATGAATAAGTTCATCATTCATAGCATCTTGTCCTCAGTTTAATATCCTACTTCTAATTTCCACACAAAGATCTTCAGATGACTCTAAAAAAACATTTTTAACCTGTATAGCTTAAATCCTCATAAATATAAATAATTCATCAAAATAAAATGATCATAAAAATATTTATATATCACAATGAAGAAATTAATTGATATACAGAAATTAAAAAAATCAATGAAGTTTTGTAAAGAAAAGTAAAGTTTAGATTTTAGCAAGAGACTTTTGCCATTTAGATAAAGGTACCTTCCCCATTCGTAGAATAAATAAGAGAAAATGTGCCAATCCCAAATTTAGGCAATTCGGAAGATCAAGGTTAAGCCTTAATAGTAATTAAAAAGAAAAACAGTAACAATTAGAATGACAAACTGTATGGATTGTGGTGAAATAACTGTTTTTTGGCATTGTGCCTTATCAGCCAGATTCCCATCACAAGCATCAACTGATTCTGTCTATTCCAGGAAAAGTATCAACAAGCCCCTCCTGGCACATTGATTCTACTTTCAGAATCAACAGATTCAAGAGATTACTCTGACTTCAACCATGTTATTAATGACATAGGATTTCTCTTCAATTTTGTATAATGACCTATAGTTGCATCAGTTTTACTTGTTAAAATGGAAGTTTAAGAATGGTTAGTTAATTTCTGGCTCAGATTCAACTGCAAGAACAATAGCACGACATCGTCATACTTTTTAGATTATTGGTTGTGTACGTTGCAATGCCTGTCGGGCATTAACATCCATTTAAATAACTGGCAATGTACACTATACAACATTGAAAATATATTTCACTGAATCATACTGGCGGAATTTGGTTCAGAATACCGTACTTCAGCCCAAATCATAATGGTTGTTAAGAAATGTAAATGAGGAAAATCTTAATTTTTTTTTCACTACTGGGAAGAAAAAGAAATCTGGTCATGCACGTGTCGGCAAATATCAATAAAGGGTACACAATCCTCGAGTGTTTGAGTTGGCGTGACACCACTTTGAACTATCTATCAATTATACCATGGCATGTCAGCATAATGTGTGAGAAAAGCCTGAAGTAACACAGGTCAGACATAGAATCCTAATCAGGCCCACTACACATGCTACAGCCAGATCCTGTAAGGGCAAAGGGACACAACTCTGCATGGGGAATAGCGATCCCTATTTAAACTGTCTTCATTGTCAAATAAATTAAACTACAAGTTCCACCTATCAGACCAATACTTACGTGGATCATTAGGTCTGACCTCACACACACATGCACTTGCACATCCTCTACAATTCTGTCTCGTATCATTCCAGCATCTCACACAACCTGCCTCACACACATCACAATGTGAACGTCTGAGCATCCACACATCTTACAAACACTAAGGTGAGGTTCCCTTTGCATTTTAGACACTTATTTGACAGATAGAATCTGGAAGAGAGGGGTGTGGTAAAGATAAAAATTCTGGGTAGGTTATAGATGGGCCATTACCTTCAGAAGGCTACCAAACATCAGCAGGAGTGAAATCCACAAGTGGCACAAACATAGTATTTGTGTGTGCAAAGATGGCAATTTAAGTCAAATTATTTTTAAAATACATCTACTCACTGGTTGAGAAATACTCAACAGACTGGAGGGGGTTTGTAGGGGTTAGTTATTGTCCAAAGTATGTGAGTGAGTATGATTTTATGTTTTTTTGCAATATTCCAGCGATATCATGGTGGGGGACACGAGAAATGGGCTTCACACATTGTACCCATGTCAGGAATCGAACCCGGGTCTTCGGCATGACGAGCGAACATTTTAAAAACTATGCTACCCCACTGTCCATAAAGAATCAAACGATACACTGAAAGAAGACAGAAGTATTGTGTGCTACAGGTGGCATCAAAGTTCTTTTACATTTTTAATGACGTTTATTTCAACAATATCATGTAAATTACTTCTAATGACAGATTTAATGAATGGCATCACACCAATGCCATCAGGAAAACTAGTTGCATGTTTTCAACACAAATCTGGTACCTGGAACCCTGTCACATAGTTAATCATGGTACATGAAAACTCCCATTGTCAATGTCACACAATATACCACAACGCATCTTCCAATATCTCCTCACATCTTCCTGTAGCTCCTCACACATATATCCTATGTTATTCCGTATTGTCCTACATCTTCCCATATCTCCGCGCATCTTCCCGTATATCGTCGCTTCTCCCGGTATCTACTCGCATCTTTCCGTATCTCCTCACATCTTCCCATATCTCCTCGCATCTTCCTGTATCTCCTCGCATCTTCCCATATCTCCTCGCATCTTCCGGTATCTCCTCACATCTTCCCGTATCTCCTCACACCTCCATATCCTCCTCCTCTTCTCTGACTGGGTTGAGACTGGCCAGGGTGATATTGCGGATGTTTGGACAGTTACTCTGCACAACTGAAATGATTTCAGGATGGACGTGGGTGCCATCCAGGTTGAGGAGAGTCAAGGACATCAACTTCAGGGAGCGAATTCCTGGTGGAAGAACAGATAAATAAATGACAGACAAAATCAAGTAGTAAGAAAGTAACACAATTGATGAGGGAGTGGATGGATGATGGTCTGTTAGTTAGTGAATGACAAGCTGAGTGACTGCGTATGATGGCGAGTGAGACAGTGGGTGGGATGGCATTTTGTTGATTTGTGAGGGTAGAAATTAGTGGAAGAGCAGTTAAGTGAGTGGTTGGTTTGGTTTGATGTTTTATGCCGCGCTAAGCAACATTCCAGCTATATGACGGCGGTCTGTAAATAATCGAGTCTGGACCAGACAAGCCAGTGATTGATATCATGAGTATCTATCCAGGCAATTATACCAAGTCAGCGGGCCTGACCACCCGATCCCGTTAGTCACCTTATTACGGCAAGAATGAGTTGCTGAAGACCTATTCTACCCCAGATCAGTTAAGTGAGTGAATGAGAGGGTGAGTATGGGATGGTGGTCAGGGGGAACAGTGAATGGGATGATGGTGAGGGTATGAGGTGTAAATGCTATAACCACTGGGCTACCCTTGATGGTGAGAGCAAACCCTCAGCGAAGGGGTCGATACAGGCAGGCAGTGTCGCCTAGATATACTGTCCACTCCTGTGTTTGATGGTGTGTCGTTGGTGGACATGGTTCTGTAGTCCTTCACATTCAGCATGGTGGTCGGTACAGGCAGGCAGTGTCGCCTAGATATACTGTCCACTCCTGTGTTTGATGGTGTGTTGTTGGTGGACATGGTTCTGTAGTCCTTCACATTCAGCATGGTGGTCAGTACAGGCAATGTCGATACCTAACCACTCATTTACTCACCTTCTTACCCTCCAACTCACCCACTCCATCACTGACAAACCTCACTGCTCATCCACCCACTGTCCCACCTGCTCCAACACCTAACCACTCATTTACTCACCGTCTTACCCTCCAACTCAGCAACTCCTTCACTCACAAACCTCACTGCTTATCCACCCACTGTCCCATCAACCCACACACTCACTGTTACCTTTGTCGGACACGCTGGTCCTGCTGAGGTTGAGCTTGCTCAGGAGGTGGCAGGAGTTGAGGCACCCACTACACAGGAACTGGCTTGTAATACTGAAACATACAATCAGTTTCATGCAACATTGTACAAGGGTGAAGACAAACAATACCAAGGACATATCGAGGTTTTGAAACCAAGTGCTCTTGGCAGGCAAATCGGGAAAAATATTTTGCTGAATATTGGGAAAAGTTTTTAGGTTCTTATGTTCCTAATTTGGAGGTAATCAGAAGCCTCATTCTCTATTGGTCCTGTTAATAGTATAATACAAGTAACCTTTACAAAGTCATTATTCAAATTTCTTGTAACCATGAGGGTGACAACTTGAGTGGGAGGATGGGTGAGAAATAGAGAGGGTGAGTGCGTTAAGGTGAGAAAGAAAAAGGATTAGAGGGTGACAACTTGAGAGGGAGGATGGGTGAGAAATAGAGAGGGTGAGTGCGTTTAGGGGAGAAAGAAAAGGATTAGAGGGTGACAACTTGAGAGGGAGGATGGGTGAGAAATAGAGAGGGTGAGTGCGTTAAGGTGAGAAAGAAAAAGGATTAGAGGGTGACAACTTGAGAGGGAGGATGGGTGAGAAATAGAGAGGGTGAGTGCGTTTAGGGGAGAAAGAAAAAGGATTATAGGTCACAACTTGAGAGGCAGGATGGGTGAGAAATAGAGAGGGCAAGTGGGTTTGGGTGAGAAAGAAAAATGATTAGAGGGTGACAACTTTAGAGGAGGCTGGGTGAGATATAGAGCTGGCGAGTGGGTGAGAAATAGAGAGTTGAGAAAAAGGATGATTGGGGTGAGAAAAAGGATGATTAGATGAAAAATTGAGAGGATGTGATTTGGGTGAGAGATTGACTGGATGAGTGGGTGAAAGGGAGACAGTGATGTGGGTTTCACATACATATCATTCTGTGACAAGCCTCAGAGTCTTGCTACTTTAATCTGCACGTAGTACATTGTTACAGCTTTCACATCAGGATCCTACACAGTCCTTTCCCCAAGTGTGCTCAGACCTTACAGGACATTGTACCAATTACCTAATATGCATTTTGCAGTCTCACTTACCATGTGGATGAAAGACTCAGTTCTTCCAGCTTGGTGAAAGCTGTGATACAAAATAATGACTGATAAAGGAACAGTTTCAAAACAATTAAATAACCATTGGCGTAAGTGTTGTATCCTGTTGTACACAATCGTGAGAATGTCATTGGTGTTTACACAAGATTTCACACCATAATGCAGTTACATACCACAAAGATGTTTCTTGAAAACTTGCAAGTCGAGAAAGCGTAATGAGATTGTGTTGAAACAAATTTATGCAACGAAATAGTTGACGTCATAAATACGAGGTCAATAGGGATCCCAAGCATTCAATGTCAGACATGATCCAGATGTGTTTACTGGAGAAATTCGGTACTTATTTACATAAATAACACACATAATAAATACCAAATATATGTCCTTAATGAATGAAATCTTAAAACGGATATTAGAAATCATATTTTTTCGTCCCATAATGAAATGACACATTTAATATACCTTTCATACGAGACGCTCCGACATCAGACACCAGTGTTCGGTCGAGAAAGAGTGTTTCCAAGTTCACCAGACCTGGGAGCATAATAAATGTCCATATGTTATAGGAAAGGGAATTTGTATTTTTGTTGGCATTTCTACTCATGTGTGATTTAGCATTATTATTATTATATTATACATTTATGTACTGCAGGTGTCCAGCTACTAGTTTCTGCTCAAATGCAGTTTTATTTTTTCCCCGACCAGTGGATCCATTTGTGCATTCCAGTCATCATTCTCAACTCCCTGGGGAGTAAACAGGCAAAGCTGCCTTGGTGCGCGAGAAGGTTTTTACATCCACCTCACCTCTGGTACCCATTCCCTGAACAGAGGCACATTTGAACTAAGTCACTTGCCCAGGGTGACAACACAAGTATACAAGTACAACTCTCCATGATCTCTTGACCAAAGGTTACACAAATCCATGGTGCCCAAAATTTGATAATCCATCTTCTAATTTGAATTAGATATTTTGATTTGTCATTTCCTTCGTATGTTAAATTCAACCAAAGCAATACAGGATAAAGTTATTACCTCTCACATGAACAGAGCACAAGTCACACATCAGGTGAAGCTACTTGTTTGTTTGTTGTTTAATGTCGCAATAAGCAATATTTCATCTATATGAACATGACGGCAGTATGTTAATGGATCAAGTAACTGACATTATGAGCATCAATCTATGCAATTGACATGCATCAACCAAAACAGCAAGCCTGACCATCCAATCCCATTAGTTGCCTCTTACAACAAGCATGGGATGCTGAAGACCAATTTTAACCCAGATGTTCACGTTGGTCACGGGAAGTTAGCACTGTTGGTCACTGAGAGTAGGCTGGACCTTGGTCAGTGCACTTGACACCTGAGAGATTCAAGTACACCCAGCATTGCATGGGTACCCAGTAGGATGAGATAGTTTTTGATACCCTAAACCTAGCGCCTTTTAAGGCTTCTTGGTTTGTATACTCCCCAGGGAGGTGAGAATGAAATTTGAGCGCACATTGATTATATTGATCAACTAACTGGGCATTAATATTATAAAGCAATATAAATAATTTAATGGGAAGGCACATTACAAATGGACTTATTATTATTATTTGTACATACGATGATTCCTAATGAAAACACATACCCTCCAGGTACAGCATGCCTTCATCTGTTATCTTGGTGTTATTGAGAAGAAGCTTCTTTAGACTGCGAAAACAAAACATGTAAATTATACACCTTTTTTAGTTTAGCTGACAAATCAATGGCCTACTTGTTATCTTGCCATGTGTATGGAGTCCTCGCCCCACATTGCTGTGTTTGGTAAGGTCAAGGCTGGTCAGAGGTTAATATAGGGTCAAAAACAGTTTAGTAGACATCAATGACCTACATTGTTATCTTGCCATGTGTATGGAGTCCTCGCCCCACATTGCTGTGTTTGGTAAGGTCAAGGCTGGTCAGAGGTTAATATAGGGTCAAAAACAGTTTAGTAGACATCAATGACCTACATTGTTATCTTGCCATGTGTATGGAGTCCTCGCCCCACATTGCTGTGTTTGGTAAGGTCAAGGCTGGTCAGAGGTTAATATAGGGTCAAAAACAGTTTAGTAGACATCAATGACCTACATTGTTATCTTGCCATGTGTATGGAGTCCTCGCCCCACATTGCTGTGTTTGGTAAGGTCAAGGCTGGTCAGAGGTTAATATAGGGTCAAAAACAGTTTAGTAGACATCAATGACCTACATTGTTATCTTGCCATGTGTATGGAGTCCTCGCCCCACATTGCTGTGTTTGGTAAGGTCAAGGCTGGTCAGAGGTTAATATAGGGTCAAAAACAGTTTAGTAGACATCAATGACCTACATTGTTATCTTGCCATGTGTATGGAGTCCTCGCCCCACATTGCTGTGTTTGGTAAGGTCAAGGCTGGTCAGAGGTTAATATAGGGTCAAAAACAGTTTAGTAGACATCAATGACCTACATTGTTATCTTGCCATGTGTATGGAGTCCTCGCCCCACATTGCTGTGTTTGGTAAGGTCAAGGCTGGTCAGAGGTTAATATAGGGTCAAAAACAGTTTAGTAGACATCAATGACCTACATTGTTATCTGGCCTATGTGTATGGAGTCCTCGCCCCACATTGCTGCGTTTGGTGAGGTCAAGGCTGGTCAGAGGTTAATATTGGGTCAAAAACAGTTTAGTAGACATCAATGACCTACATTGTTATCTTGCCATGTGCATGGAGTCCTTCCCCGACATTGCTGTGGTTGGTGAGGTCAAGGCTGGTCGGAGGTTAATATGGGGTCAAGGACAGTTCAGAAGACACAATGGCCTACATTGTTATCTTGCCTATGTGTATTGATGTAGTTGGTGAGGTAAAGGCTGGTCAGAGGTCAACAAGGCATCAAGGACACTTTAGTGGACATAGCATTGACCTACTTCATTGTCTCCCTATGTGCATCCTCCACATTAATGTATTTGGTAAGGTCAAGGCTGGTCAGCGGTAAACCTGGGGTCAAGGGCAATCTAGTGGATATATGAACGACCTACCTTGTTATCTTCCCTATGTGTATCAAGCCTTCATCCCCCACATTGATGTAGTTGGTAAGGTCAAGGCTGGTCAGAGGTAAACCTGGGGTCAAGGACAGAGTCATTGGTACATCATAAGTGCTGCCTTTACACAAATCAGTATTTAGAGAGTTAATTGAATCACATTTTACATCCAAGATTACATCATTAATAAGTGTGTAACAATAATATTACAATAAATGTTATATCAAATTGGGTGAAGTTAATTTGACTATACTTTCACAGATACATTTAAATGGGTTTCCTATGGTCAATGGTTGAATACAACACACAATACCCTGTCCAAATACATATCTTATTACTGGGGTGAAAACCCTTTATTCTTATTAAACAAATATGTAATTTTTATTTTCTTTGTTTGTGATATAGCAGATTTTTATGACACTTCTTAAATTGCACTTGATTTATTAATGACCCCCCCCCCCCCCCCCCCCACAATCCCCCGAACCCATTTGTAGAAACACAAGCATACACAATCAGCTGAGTGAAAAGTCAAGTAATTGGGAACTGCTTCAGTAGTCAAAGGGAAATAATCCTCATTTCCATCACAGAGTGAATATATGTGACACCGTGAAACAGACCTGCTTCTACACATGGAATTGATGAACGTGTCCTCACATATGTAACACACCTATTTAACACACCTATGTACTACACCTGAGGTACATACCTATACTACTAAAAAAAGTTAAGGACTAACAAATTCTTTCATATTATTATCGTAAAATGTCATGCCATGTAGAATCAGGTAGTTCTACACTTCTTTTGAGTGGTATACAGATTAACTATAGTAACATGAAAAAATCAAGTGTTCCTCAACTTCCTTTAGAGGTATATACAATACACCTGTGAAGCACACCTGAGCCATTTCATCAGAATATCATGTATACCTTCATGTATAACACATCCGTATAACATGGCTCTGTAAAACATCATAGTAACACACATATGTGACGAATAGGTCATCATCAACCCATGTTTGCCGTAAGAGGCAACTAATTGGATCGGATGGTCAGGCTCTCTGACTTGGTTGACGTATGTCATCATATCCCAATTGCATGAATCGATGCTCATGATATCAATCACTGGATTGTCTGGTCCAGATTTGATTATTTACAGACCGTCGTCATATAGCTGGAATATTGCTGGGTACAGCGTTAAACAACAAACAAACTTACCAACAAGATGTGCAAGTCCTTGGCTTGTTGTTGTGTGTCTACTTGGAAGATATAAAGTGTGCAATTTCAAACCTGAAAACCGAAACAATGTCATAATGTGTCACAAAGACAAATGGTCAGCACTAAGTTTAAGATAGCAAAAAACTACAAATTATAAAAAGCTAGGTAAATTTCTCTTCCAGGTCATGAACATTAGAACGGAAACATAGTGTTGAACGGTAAATCATTATAAATCTACTCAGCATGCAAATATATATACAGTATATTTCCATTGTATTATGGGCCGGTGGCCTGAAGTGCCGAATAAATTTGTCTGTCTGTCTGTCTGTCAAAAACTTATACCTCTTCCATATGTCCCCTTTGAGATATTCTAGGGAACATCTCCTACCACATTCTCTGTATTGGCCACACCGAGACACCTGAAAAACTAAAACATGTAATAACCCCTCCCTATCTCACCTATGAGATACTGCAGAGCGAGATCTCCCACCACATTCTCTGTATTGGCCACACTAAGACACCAGTCACACCAAAACATGTAATAACCCCTCCCTATCTCACCTGTGAGATACTGCAGGGCGAGATCTCCCACCACATTCTCTGTATTGGCCACACCGAGACACCAGTCACACTAATACATGTAATAACCCCTCCCTATCTCACCTGTGAGATACTGCAGGGCGAGATCTCCCACCACATTCTCTGTATTGGCCACACCGAGACACCAGTCACACTAAAACATGTAATAACCCCTCCCTATCTCACCTGTGAGATACTGCAGGGCAAGATCTCCCACCACATTCTCTGTATTGGCCACACTAAGACACCAGTCACACCAAAACATGTAATAACCCCTCCCTATCTCACCTGTGAGATACTGCAGGGCGAGATCTCCCACCACATTCTCTGTATTGGCCACACTAAGACATGTGAGTGATGGATGACCAGACAGACACAGCAGAGAGTCTGTCCCAATATCTGTGTTGGCAACATCTAATATTTCCAGTTCCTTTAAATCCTGGATTCCTGATAAACTACACACCTGAAACAGAGGGTGAGTGAGTGAGTGAGTGAGTGAGTGCATGAGAGTGAGTGAGTGAATGAGTGCATGAGAGTGAGTGCATGAGAGTGAGTGCATGAGAGTGAGTGCATGAGTGAGTGAGTGAGTGAGTGAGTGAGTGAGTGAGCTGTGATTAAAGCCCCATGGATAAGTCGGCATGGTCAGTGCTTGAAATTATACACATAAAATCAATGGGTCCCTGACATAGCTATAGGGGAGTCTATAGATTCAAATACCACAGGACAATGCTAGTACTTCAGCTACCGTATTTACCTTATTAGAAACAACACTTCAATATGTGTCCCCTGACCAAATTCTAGATCAATTTAGAAGTGCCCCGTAATAAGCCAAAATTTTATACATGACAATTCATACTGTCTTGTGTATATTGCAGATCTTTTTACAGAAAACAGCGATGGAGAAGGGGCATAGTAACTAGTTACTATTGCCTAGTAACTATTAACAAAAACGTTTTAGTTTCTTGTACCTTTGAACTAAGTCTGTTGTCTACCATTCGATCTCCGACAACAAATTTAACTTGTGAACAGTTATAATAAGCACCTCCATTTCTCAATCTTATGACAGCGAATAGGGTATATCATAGGCTTTAGTTAGAAAAGCCCAGAGTGATGCATAATATCATGAAAATAGATGTTCCTTTTTTATCATTATTCATAATCACAACTATGCAGCTGACCAGTTACCATGGTTACTGTATGACCTAAAAAACATGTATTTGTGAACCAAAGGTTTCCATCTACACTTCTAAATTTAATTCTAAATGGAAATGTTACAGCAAAGATAAATTTACAATTGATAAAAATCAGTTCATGAATTAACATCAGCCTCTGGCAGATTTCTTAATTTCTCATAGCAAACTATTGTTTAAACCGTCATACGTCTGAATTTTGCTTACAATTTTGTTCTTTACAGTCGACAACTGCACTCTTTAAATTAATACCTTATGATTTACCCTTGACGTTAGGTTATAACTGATGGCAATGTATGACATCTGGAGCGGTATTATAATAAGTCTTGTTAATCTCTTTTACATATCAAACTTCACACATTTTATGCAATACATATATTTATAACACTGTCCTACCTTTGTCTGTTCTAGGTACAGGGACTTCAATTTGGATAAAACTGAAAGAAACAAACACGAGACAATGTTACATCGATTGAGTGACATTTAGTTTTTTTAACATTTTAATAACAATTCAGGACACTTGATATCCGGGATACCTACTAATTTTATCTAAGATTTGATGGGACAATGTGATTAATGTGGCAACTACCAAAGACGTGGTAAGACAGCTACTACCCTCTAAGATGTGGAATGACAGCTACTACCCCTAAGATGTGGTATGACAACTACTACCCTCTAAAATGTGGTATGACAGCTACTACCCTCTAAGATGTTGTATGACAGCTACTCACCTCTAAGATGTGGTATAACAGCTACTACCCTCTAAGATGTTGAAAGACAGCTACTACCCTCTAAGATGTGGTATGACAGCTACTACCCTCTAAGATGTGGTATAACAGCTACTACCCTCTAAGATGTGGTATGACAGCAACTACCCTCTAAGATGTGGTATAACAGCTACTATCCTCTAAGATGTGGTATGACAGCTACTACCCTCTAAGATGTGGTATGACAGCTACTACCCTCTAAGATGTGGTATAACAGCTACTACCCTCTAAGATGTGGTATGACAGCTACTACCCTCTAAGATGTGGTACAACAGCTACTACCCTCTAAGATGTGGTATGACAGCTTCTACCCTCTAAGATGTTGTATGACAGCTACTCACCTCTAAGATGTGGTATAACAGCTACTACCCTCTAAGATGTTGAAAGACAGCTACTACCCTCTAAGATGTGGTATGACAGCTACTACCCTCTAAGATGTGGTATAACAGCTACTACCCTCTAAGGTGTGGTATGACAGCAACTACACTCTAAGATGTGGTATAACAGCTACTATCCTCTAAGATGTGGTATAACAGCTACTACCCTCTAAGATGTGGTATGACAGCAACTACACTCTAAGATGTGGTATAACAGCTACTATCCTCTAAGATGTGGTATGACAGCTACTACCCTCTAAGATGTGGTATGACAGCAACTACCCTCTAAGATGTGGTATGACAGCTACTACCCTCTAAGGTGTTGAATGATAGCTACTACCCTCTAGGATGTGGTATAACAGCTACTTCCCTCTAAGATGTGGTATGACAGCTAGTACCCTCTAAGATGTGGTATGACAGCTACTCACCTCTAAGGTGTGGTATGACAACATGACTGACACCTGTTCTGCTCAGGTTCAGGTGCAACAGTTGATGGGAGCTGCTCTTGAGGTAGTCGATAAACCCAGCATCCGTTATGACAGTGTTATCTAGGTTCAGATTTTGAAGACTTGGAAGTTCTGAAAGAAAGTTCGAAGTGTATGAGAGTGAGTACTTGTTTACGCTTCTGTTGACAATATTCCACCTATATCAATTAGCCTCTAAATACTCAATACATTTATCAAATCTGGACAAGACAAACCAGTGATTGATATTGCAAGCAATGTCTGATGCTGTTTTGGTATGATGACATGCAATCAACCAAGTCACTGAGTCTGACCACCTGATTCAGTTAGTCACCTCTGACAACAAGTATAAGTGTCTAGGAACCTAGGCAAACCAGCATCCCAAAGGGTCAAATGAAAAAAAAATATGAAAAAAAAATAAGGATATTATATGCTCAAAAAATTTCAGGTGTAAAGAGTGAGTGAGTGAGTTCGGTTTAACGCCAGTTTGAACAACATTCCCGTTATATCACATTGTGTCAGCTTCATGTAGGAGGAAAGCCCAAAGTGATGCAGGTCTAAGACGTTTACCACTTTGGTGAAACCTGAATGGTGCTGCCAAAACCTAGAAACATAATCAGGGTCAACTGGGATTCAAACCCACAATCATAGGTTTCTGGCGTGCCTAAAGGACGCAACTCAGCACAGTGAATTGCAGCGCCTTAGACGACTGGGCCTCCCGTGGCCCCTCAAGTGGTATGAATCAATACATGTCTCTTGCAGTAAGGTGACTGCTGCATGAGAATGAGGTCAAATCATCTTAAATTTGGTGGCACGAGATCACATTTAATATTGTCAGACATGTTGACCAACAAACTATAAAACGCAGACGTCATCAGCCAAATCCCCAAGCACAGTCATATAATCACCATTATCAAGACAGCACAACCAACAGTACAGATGGACATGGCTAAAGTGTAGAAAGTACCTGCTACTGCTGAAAGACACTTGTTTGAGAGTTGACGGCATGATCCCAAGTTTAACACCTTCAGTTTCTTTAAACCTAAAAATAAATAAATAGAGGCCTGTAAAGAGTGGACCAATTGCATTAGACACAACATCAGCATCCATTCTGCTTACAGGTTAGCATCCTTCATTATCCAGGGTAATTTCCATTTGGATAAATACCCCGGACCCATTTGCCAACAATGTTTTGTTTCGGAAGTGACGCACCATCCCAATTGGCTTACCACTAACAGCACAGAAATTCCCTTTCTGCAGAGGTAAGTAAGGGCCTGTAGGTATTAGTCAGGGTCTTCAGAGTTCAGTCATAGCCTACAGAGTTCAGTTACAGCCTACTGAGTTCAGTCAGGGTCTTCAGAGTTCAGTCAGACACCTGCAGAGTTTAGTTACAGACTTCTGTGTTCAGTCAGGGTCTTCAGAGTTCAGTCATAGCCTACAGAGTGTAGTTACAGCCTACTGTGTTCAGTCAGGGTCTTCAGAGTTCAGTCATAGCCTACAGAGTGTAGTTACAGCCTACTGTGTTCAGTCAGGGTCTTCAGAGTTCAGTCATAGCCTACAGAGTGTAGTTACAGCCTACTGAGTTCAGTAAGGGCCTACAGAGTTTAGTCAGGGCCTGCAGAGATTAGTAACAGCCTGCAGAGTTTAGTCAGGGCTGCAGAGATTAGTAAGAGCCTGCAGAGTTCAGTCAGGGCCTACTGAGTTCTGGCAGAGCTGGCAGAGTTAAGTCAGAGTCTGCAGTTATAAGTCAGAGACTACAGAGTTTAGTCAGGGCCTACAGAGTTAGTCAGGGCCTACAGAGTTAGTCAGGGCCTACAGAGTTTGGTCGGGGCCTACAGAGTTTAGTCAGAGCCTGCAGAGTTTAGTCAGGGTCTGCAGAGTTCAGTCAGAGTCTACAGAGTTCAGTCAGAGATATTAGTTATATTTCAAACACATATAGATGTTGGCACTGACCTGCAAGTGGTTTGAGTCCATGGTCAGTGAAGAGGGTACAGGAGGAGAGACTTAAGTGTACAAGGTTCACATGGTATCTGTAACAAAAATGCTTTGATATTCATATAGAATACCAGCGTTAGAAACTAACAGTTTTAAACCACTAGTCCTTATAATGATAACATATAGCAAAACCCTTAAAAATGGCAAATTTCTTATTAGTCCTTATGATACCTAAACTATTGGGTAGTTTGGCAAGGACTATAGGACTAGTGCCAATTTCTAACCCTGAATACTACGCTTATTACATTTTCACAATACAAGCTGACTTTCTACGGTAACTGAGTGAAAAGAATGTTCACATAAATCTATAACTGAATGTCCAAGGAGTAAATAAACGACAATGTTTGTTTGTTTAACAGTGGAAACAGAAATTGTGAAACCGGTTGTGCATGAACATTGATATATGCCCAGATATGGGCATTAACATTTCTATGCATGCCCATAAGCTGGTATTTTATTCCCCTCAAAAAACTGTCCAAGAAAACGCTTGAAAATATTAATTACACTTCAGACACTTGCAAAAAAAAGGACTTTGCCACACACAAAAAAGGCTTATTAGGCTCATAAATTAAAAGGTTATCTGGATTTGCAGCTGTAACTGAAAAACTATTGTCTCCATACAAAAGTCCAGGCCCCCCAGAGTGAGTGAGTGAGTTGGGTTTAACGCCGCTTTTAACAGTATTCCAGTTATATCACGGCGTGTCAGCTTCATGTGGGAGGAAAGCCCGAAGTGATGCAGGTCTCAGACGTTTACCACTTCGGTGAAACCCACGAGCACGGGTATGGTGCTGGCAATAATCGGGGCGAACCAGGATTCGAACCCACAATCATAGGTTTCTGGCATGCAAATCGCGGCGCCTTAGACGACTGGGCCACCCGTGCCCCCGCCCTGACGAGAATAGCAAATGGTCGCAAACATTAAGCTTACTTACCATGCTTACAGATTGGTCAGGGGGTGCTTATTAGATCGGAGCACTTAATACATGGCATATCTATGTTAGATAAGATTTGCTACTAGTTGGTATCATACTGGCAGAACATATAAAGAAAAGTGTACTCACCTGATTGCATGTAACAGTTCATTTGTTGTGTATGGGTAGCTGTCAAACATCAACTTCCGCAGGTAACTAAAACACAAAAAGGAACAAGCGTATAGTCGACAAAGTCATCTATATCCCCCACATCTGGTCCCAAACCAGGTAACTGACCAAACATTTCTCTTAGCCCATGTCAATATAGCTGCAATGGAAATTCTAAAATAAACATTTCTGAAAACTTATGAATATCAAATGGCACCAGTTCTGTATGTGCTTCATATATAGACATGCAATGTTTGGCAAGGAAATATTCAACAGTTTATTTGTTATACTCCAAAAGTGAAACCACCTTACATTAAAACTTAAATCCAACTTGTTGCCATGGAAACGTTAAAAATAAAAAATTATAAAATTCCTAAATAGCAAAAGGCATCAGTTCAGCATGAGTCTGATAAACATGCAAAGTTTCGTAGAGAAATATTTAACAGTTTCTGAGTAATGCTCCAGAAATGATTTCGGGACGCACGCACACACACACACACGGACACACGGAGGGAACCCATTTCAATATGCCCCGCCAACTTCGTTGAGGCAGGGGATGAAAGAAATGTGTGTGTGTGTGAGCAAAATATGATACCATCCTGAGGTCAATCTCACCACCGCCACACACACACAACCCATTATACATGAATGACCAGTCCCGAAATCTGTGAACAGTTATTAGAGACACCACTCTGTACCATATGCATTGCTGTCAGCCTATGTACAATTTCATAATGATATACCGTATTCGACGTAATAGGCGCCCAGGGCGTTCTCAAAATTAGAAATAGAGGGCTCATATTAGAATATAATTTTTGTGGAAAAAAGTTGAAAGATCGTAAATTTTGTGGTTTATGCTGACAGCCTGAAATGATACAAAAGAAAAGTCTGTGCGTATTATACACGACAGATATACTTTTCCAGATTTAATTGCCCATAATTAAGGGTGCATATAACACACAAGTAAGTATTATACACGAATAAATAAGTCTTGTGTACATTGATCAATCAAAATGGGTGCTAATTGGGATTGTTCACAAGCTAATATATTAGCAAATATCGCCTTGGGCGCTTACTAGAGTGGGGTGCTTATAACGTTGACTACGGTATGCAGGAATGCCTGAGTAATTGGTAAAATGACTTTTTCATGATGGCACGGGGGAATTTAAAAATGATGGAAATTCTGAGAGCAATTGTTAGATACACAATAGCTGGTATCATTCAATCAAAGTTTCAGGACCATGATTGGTTGGTTGGTTTGTTGTTTAACGCCGCACTCAGCAATATTCCAGCTATATGATGGCGGTCTGTAAATAATCGAGTCTGGGCCAGACAATCCAGTGATTAATATCAAGAGCATCGATCCACGCAATTGGGATCGATGACATGCATTAACCAAGTCAGCGAGCCTGACTACCCGATCCCATTAGTCGCCCCTTAAGACAAGCATAGTCGCCTTTTACAGCAAGTATGTGTTGCTGAAGACCTATTCTACCCTGGATCTTCACGGCATCTCAGCTCCATAGGCCTTGTAGTTTCAGAGATGTCAGACACTATGAGAGACATGACATTACCATCACACAAATACTTGTTTGTTAGTGACACAGATAGGTCAAAGCATCCAGAATATTTTTAGTTCGGGTTATAAAACTATTGCTATTGGCAAAACTGATCATCAAGGTTGAAATTTAAGTGTCAAATGTTCTTAATGTGAAACACAACACTAGTCTCTGATCGCCTTACCATGGCACAAATACTTGTTTGGGTGTAAATCACTGTAATACATCTTCACGAGGCAAGGGCATTAACTGACTGTAAAAGTCCAGTTTCCACCCTCCATAGGCCTTGTAGTTTCAGGGGAGATGTCAGACACTATGAGAGGCATGACATTACCATCACACAAATACTTGTTTGTTAGTGACACAGATAGGTTGAAGCAACCAGAATATTTTCAGTTTTGGTTATTGTAAGGGTGTTTTTGTGAGACAGATAAGTCAGAGCACCAAGAATAATTCCTGATTGTCTTACCATGGCAAAAATACTTGCTTGGGTGTAAATCACAGTAATACATCTTCATGAGGCAAGGTTGTTAACTGATTGTAAAAGTTCAGTTTCCACCCTTGCCGAACTAGGATGGAATTCTGGAGTTACATTCTGGCTGGACTATGCATAGTCCAATCAAAATCGTGTAACAAACTAGACATCCGGTTTATAAACAACATGGATTTCAGATTGCAGTCAACTGAATGATTTGCAAAGCATGTGTACCAACCAACTGGGCGTTGACAGATATTTTGCAAATCTTTTCATGTATTTAATCAAGGTGCTCAGGTGATTTGACGCACCTCGCAAGGTAAGGCCTGACAATATAGATCTCAATTATCGATCAGATCATTTTGACTGGGCGCTGCCATTTTGTTTGAAGCAAAAGTGATAAGAGAGGTGGAATCTGATTGGTCAGTAGGAGGGACATAGAAGGAACACATCTCGTTACAGCCACTGGTGGCGCTACGATCAAGCCTGGAAATTTCAGCCTAGTTCGACAAGGGCGAAAACTGGACTTTTATAGACAGTTAAAGCCCTTGCCTCGGGACACAGGTCAGAGCACCAAAAATATTTCCACGATTGTCTTACCATGGCACAAATACTTGGAGTGTTTTTGCTTTCAGCTTGCCCTCCTTCATCAGCTGTTGAAGCAACTTCTGCGCCAACTCCTCTGCGATGCCTCCCAGAGACAGGAGGGGGTGGCGGGGGTCACACAGGCGCCGGGAAACACGGTAGATGCACAAGCGAAGTAAGGATGACACATCATGGGTCAGATGCTGACCTTGACACATGACCTCAGGTTCAAGGTCGGCAGGGCCTGGCTGAACGAATCGGTGGCGAGCTGCTTCGGCTGGTGGTAGAGACAGAGAGGGAGGTATATAAGTATTTATCTGAGAGATTGCACATGACATGAGGTTCAAGGTCCGCAGGGCCTGACTGACTGAATCAATGGGGAGCCTCTGCCACTGGTGATAGAGACATAGAGGGAGCTAAAAAAGTATTGATCTGACAGAGATCCCAGCAGATCACCCTGTGAAAAGCTGTTCCCATTCTTAAAAGCCAGGGCTATCTTGCTGTACATCCCCAAATCGGGGGATCCTGAGCTGAAATTTATTGTAAACCCCATATTAAAAGGAATCTGGACCAAATAAACCAGTGATTGATATAGTGGGCCTTCAGTGTGCGATGCCACGCAATCAACCAAGTCACAGAGCCTGAGTGCCTGATCCATCACTATGACACTATGGGTGAGCAGTGCATTATCATAACATATAAGATAGCTATGTGATAAATCACAAAGAACAATGAAGAACAAAGTGTGGTTTACTTCATGACGTCATTTCTGCAGATTCGATATTGGACAACGTTATTTTTGAGAGGGTGTGTCTGGTTAGTTGTTCCCCATAGATGTAGCTGCGCAACGCAGATAAACATGATGGCCAAACGATTGCATCAAAAAGCAGGAGAGATATGACAATCAGTTTTGGGAGTAAAGGTACAGGTAATTGACATAAGGATTTTGAGAATATTCGGGAAATACCCACCTGTGCATAAAATGGAGGTCGAATTCTATTGAGGGAGTCATCATGATTAAATTATGGACAATTATTTTTCTAGCTTGTACATTTTATCATCCTTAAAGAGGCTGTACATAAGGCTAAAAACATAATAGCCTTGGTTCTCAGGCACTGCCCGGTTCATCCTAAAGTTTGGATCATCATCATCCTACGTTTCGTTTTTATTTCCATTTTTTTTTAAAAACCCAAACAATCCTTAAATATTACAAGTCGCATGTTAGTCAAAAACTGTATTCCAGTATTTTACTCATCAAGAAATACATTTATGTATGGAGACCCTTTCCCAGGTTGATTGTACACAACTGTTTATTTGGTTACATACTAGTTCGAACAACAACAACAACAAAAAGACACCGCCCACCCGCACTATATTTTCAAAAGCCATTGCCTGAGAACCAATTCTTTTTTTTTTAAGCCTAATGCTGATTTCTCATATAAGATATAAGCGCCCCTCATGGTTTATTCTCCCAGCAGTGTACGATAAACAACAAACACACGTCGTTTATTTCTAAAATTAAATAAAATAATAAACTCATTGTGTTCAGCAACCACAGTGACGACACGATAAATTTAGTCGGCTCTTACATCAAGCAATAGGGAGCTAGAGAGAAATTCTCAGCGGTAGAAACTAACAGTTTTCGTCCACTAGCCCTTCTGATGCTGACATATAGCAAAACCCTTAAAAGGGGCTAATTTCTACAAGTCCATATGATACCTTAACTATTGGGCAGTTTGGCAAGGGCTATAGGACTAGTGCCAATTTCTAATGCAGAATTCTGTTCCAGGTCAGGACAGGGGTAAGATCTTCAACAAACAGCAAAGACTGATGAAATTAGGTGTTCATCATGAGACACTGACTTTCAACAGCATTCAATCTTGTGACACATGTAATGACACATGTACCTTATTTTTCATCACTATGTACAAAATATATGTTTGTTTATATGATTAGTGACATCATGTCTGTCATTATGACGTCATATTGACTACACCGGCCAACTAGCCGTCTGTACAAGACGGCAAGTTCTGCAACTAGAGACAGCTACATTTGCTATGGGTTCTACTGAATGTCCTACAGAATCACCTGCTAGCTGGGCTGCTGGCCTGCTGTGATGTCCCCTGTCATCCCCTGGATGTGCATGTGCTACCAGCATCTGACCAACTCCTCCAAACGCCTGTTGTCTCATAGCTCGGTGACCTAACATGAAGCAAAGAGACCGAACTTTTAGTAACATTCCACTGATATTACAACAAACGGGTTTCATAAATTGTGAAACGGGGTGAAATGGGGTTTAACATCGCATTCAAGATTATTGGACTTACATAGCGATGTGCATTCACATGTGCATGAGTGCGTCTGCTTGTACTAGTTTGGACCAATGCCAGATTTAGAGCCCTTGCCCACTGACAAGGGCGGATCCAGCATCTTTAGATATCAAAATCCTCTCTCAGGCAATTTTACTGACTTCTACATACTACATTAGGTTTTCAAAAGTTGGGGGGTGGGGGGAGGCAAACCCTCAAGAGACCCCTCTCTGGATCTGTTTATCACTGGGATACCATATACCCAGTTTAACATGAATACCCCACTCAGACATGGTATACTGAGCTGATAAGTCCTTGTTTTAGCCCCTTAATGCTCAGCACCAGGCAAGGTAACAACAAGTACCATCTTTTAACATCTTGCGACCAGGGATTGAACACCGACCTTCTGCTCTCCAGGCAGAGGCTCTACCACTAGACCACAGAGACAGTGTCATAAAGAGTGCCCATGTGGGGAATACATTAAGGCTTAACACCACACTTGTACATACCTCCCATTCTCGGCATCCCTCCCATACCACCAAGAATGTTCCCCATAAAGTCTTCATCCTCTTCATCTTCATCTTCAACTTCCTGGTCTTCAGCCATAGCTTCAAAATATATATAAGTCACAATGTTAACTATTATGAAAAAAACAGTCAAGTGCTTAACTTAATTGTAACCTATAGAAATAGGAGGTGGGGAGGAGTTTGAGGGGGTCTCAAAACTTAAGCATTATGGAATTATCATAAGCATTATTTTTTATCTGACATCAAACGTTTGAACTTGTCCCTAAGATAAATGGGGTAGGTAAAAATGTTTGGTGAAACCCATGACCAAAGACCATTGAGGGCAAATTGAGGTTTTAACCCCAAAACTGCAGATTATAGCAAGGCTAAGGGACACAACATGTCCTTTTCAAGATGGCCACCAAGGTGGACATGTTTAATATTGGATTGAAATTCTATGGGCATAGTTTGGAGACACCATAGCTGAAACAATTCATTCGGAGTTTCAGCTCCATAGGCCTTGTAGTCACAGTCAGGTGAGCTAAAATTTAGGAGGGCCCCATGCTTTTGCAACAGAGGCACTATTGCAGCTTTATATATTCCAGCTACCTTGCCCTCGGTCCTCTTCGTTATCCAGCCTTTGGCCCCGTCCCCATCTGTAGGCGGGGTTCTGGAGGATGTCTGGCATGTGGGGCAGGCCAGGGGGAGGACCAGGAGGCGGAGCTTCATCTTCCATGGCTTCCTCCTCCTCAGGAGCAGCATCTGCAGCAGCATTTGCATTCCCAACTGCTTCTGGTGGGTTCACTAATGGCGGCTCTGTATAGAGTAATAAGATTATCTATCTCAAAAGTGGTCTTCAGCAACCCTTGCTTTTGGTAAGAGCTAACTGACGGGATCAGGCTTGCTGACTTGGTTGATGCATGTCATTGTATTCAAATTTTATAGATCGATGTTCATGATGTCTATCACTGGATTGTCTAGGTCAGATAAACAACGATAAACAACTCCCACTCGTTGTTTATTATTTTATATGAGATATCCACATTACGTTCAGCCTCTTGTTAGTAAAAAGTACACACTTTTAAAATATTTACCCGTTTTTAAGAAATGATGACTCCCTGAATAGAATCCGACTGCAGCAATGTTTGACAAGTCCAATTTATGAAAAGGGGAGTCATATTCTCCCAAAACTGACTGTCATATTTCTCGCATGTATGGGTGTGCGAATATTCAGACATTGTGTTGTACAGCTACACTTTCCTCTAAAAAATAACGTCGTCCAATTTATGATGTCATCAAGTTGTGAGCACACATTAGAATCTCCAGAAACAACATCATGACAGAACAATGTTTTATTGTGAAATAAACCACGCTTCCTTCTTTATAGTTCTTTGCGATCTCGTAAATTATGAGCATAGATCTCGTAAATTATGAGCATAGATCTCGCCATTGGGGTACACTGACACACCAGCTTACAACCAGCATAGGGGTTGGGGGTCAATTCTGATCCGGAAACCCAAAGGGATCCCAGTTTATTCGCTTCTTACGACTTTGAAATGATGTACAGGGGACAGATTCTACCTTGAGTCCCCAGGGGATAAAAAGAGGTAAATTGGGGGTGGGGGTATTAACTCAAATCATGCTCAGGTATTAAAAATATATGCCAAGTTAGGATGCACACATAATACTAAGACAACAAAAGACAAACTCCTGAATAAGTCGAGCTGCGAAGATTCCAGGGTAGAATAGGTCTTCAGCAGCCCATACTTGCTGTAAAAGATGACTATGCTTGTCATAAGAATCTATCGCTGCCAGCAGTTAAAGCTCCCCACTGATGTTAAATTATACAATCTTTGCAGTCACAAAAAAGAACGAAGAAAAGATACCCATGACGATCTGGGGTAGAATAGGTCTTCAGCAACCCATTCTTGCCGGAAAAGGCAACTATGCTTGTTGTAAGAGGTGACTAACGGGATGGGGTGGGCGGGCACGCTGACTTGGTTGATACATGTCATCGATCCTAATTGCGTGGATCGATGCTCATGATGTCAATCACTTAATTGTTTGGTCCAGGCTCAATTATTTACAGACCGCCGTTATATAGCTTGAATATTGCTGAGTGCGGCGTAAAACAACAAAGCAACCAACCAACCAACCTGAAGGAGGCAGTGATACAGCCAAGAGGGTCCGACTCACCAACATCATCCTGGGCCTGTTCAGTGCGAGACCCAGTCTGTGAGGCTGGGGTGCTTCTATTCTGCAGCACCAGTGACCCTGTAGGGGTCAAACCCAACTCCACCAAGCTATGCTTCTGTTCTTCTTGGCTGAATTCTCGACGAGGAAATGGCTGAACAGATAGAGAGCATTTAACAAAATGTTTATAAAAACAACTTAATTATATGTACATCTTCAAAACACACATGACTTGTTTCCACCTCTAAGTAAGCATAGGAATCATCTGACCATATTTCTAAATTATGATGGGTTAAACATTCTATGAACTAAGCAAATTTGATGAAAAGTTCTTTCATGCAAATCATCGTATCTCTAAGATGCTAATCACACTTAAAGTTTATTGAGGCCACTTTGGTAGTACTCCTTGAAAATTTTGATTTATGGATAAGCTGACACTAAACATGAAAGCGCATTTCATTAAAATCAGATCTGAGTTGTCGCTGCCGCTAAACAAAGATCTGAGGTCATCCCCTTACGGGTCACGTCAGAGCGACCTTTTGTGAACTTTGACCAACCACTAAAACAAATAACAAGAAGTCGATATCAGCCAATAAGAAAGCAGCTTTCTCGAGCTTTACGGGACTCGTTTCAACCTGGCGACTTCCATTTCAGACTACGCTTGAAAAATATGTTGACATAGTTCTCGATTAAAAGTTTGAAAACTGAACAAACCAACATTCCGGAATGATTAATATATGGTTGCGATTGTATGGCGGTGCTTCCCACGTACTGTGCAACGCCTCCTCCGTTCAAATCTTTACCCCACGGAAGCGAGAGACACTTGACGGAATCAGTCCTACGGAGCGTACTGTCGTTCGGGATACACCGTGTAAACGTTTTTGAGGTTGCATGATCAGAAAACACATTTCGACTGTCACTTTCATGATCTTGTAAGCGACGCTTTGATTGATCAGATGAAAGGTCGTTCTGACATGACCCGTAATGGGATGTCCTCAGATCTTTGTTTAGCAATAGCGAGAACTAACATCTGATTTTAATGAGATTTCATGAAAGCAGAAAAAATAAAATATGAAAAGAACCGCATTTTAATTCAACTACTGCAAACTTTCGTAATGCAGGTAATATGTACAATAGAATGAACCCACTATACATATAACTGCACGACTGACTCCACCGGCTCAACGACTATTGCACACATTTTCAGATACATGTAATGTAAGAACAAAAACAAACCATGAAACATTTACTGTTTTTTTCCCCTACATCCTTCAACCAAACAATAAACTTGGTTTGGACCCTGTTCCTAAAAGTGATTTTAGCGCAGTGACAACCACAGTATATGCTTCAGTGAGTTTGAGTATGGCGTTACTACAGTTGTAGGGCTGAGATCATTTTGTGGCTAAGGGCCCTGCCTAATCACATGCTTTACTTAACGCTACTTTGAACAGTATTTCAGTTGTGTCACTAATGTAGCCTAATGTTTGAGTAAAATCTGATGACCAATTTGATGCAGGACTTAGGAGGTATTTACCACTTTGGTAAAGTCACCAAGAACGGGTATTTCCCACTTTGGTAAATCAACAAGCATGGGTATTTACCATCTGGTAAAATCAACAAGCACGGGTATTTACCATCTGGTAAAATCAACAAGCACACGTATTTACCACTTTGGTAATATCAACAAGCGGGTAAACCACTCTGGTAAAATCAACAAGCACAGGTATTTACCATCTGGTAAAAATAACAAGCACAGGTATTTACCATCTGGTAAAATCAACAAGCACAGGTATTTACCATCTGTTAAAATCAACAAGCACATGTATTTACCACTTTGGTAAAATCAACAAGCGGGTAAACAACGCTGGTAAAATCAACAAGCACAGGTATTTACCATCTGGTAAAATCAACAAGCACAGGTATTTACCTCTTTGGTAAAATCAACCTGCCTGATCCAGATGTTAGTTGTCTTTGGGGTTACTAAGAACTACGGGTGACTTGCAAACACTGACTGACCTGTATGAAGGCCATGTTGGTCATGCTTCTGTTTCTGCTGTATACAAAGTCCCACACGGTGTCGAGGGTGTCACTCGGCTGGAAGGACTGGCGCAGGACTCGACCATCAGGGAATCGAATCTAAAACACATTAATGTGAACAAATCATACCACTCCTTGGGACTCACACTTTGACACAACACACATTACAAAACCTAAACAACTTGACACCTGCCATGCTCTTTGAGGTGAGGTGAAATGGGGTTTAACGTCGCGTCCAAGATTATTGCACTTATATAGCAACATGCATGTACGTGTGTGCATCATGTGTGGCTGCTTGTACTAGTCCGGACTGATGCCGATTTATAGTGCTAGCCCACTGAGATACCATGCCGCAGTTTGTCATGAATACCCCACTCAGACACAGTATACTGACTCTGAGCCGACCAGTCCTTGTTTTAGCCCCTTAATGCCGAGCGCCAGACAGGGTAACAACAAGTACCATCTTTTAACGTCTTTTAGTATGACGCGGCCGGGGATCGAAACCCGGACCTTCCGCTCTCCGGGCGGACGCTCTACCACTAGACCACGGAGGCGGTCTCCATGCTCTTTGAACACATATACCATCTACAGTGAATAAAGCCTAACTAGGACATACCTAGTAGGTACTTGTAATGTAGCACAGAGTATCACAATGCACTAAACATTGGACAAATTGCTATTCATCTCCCCACCTACCATACTCAGCTATACATGACAGGACTAAACTTTATTCGCTTTATAGACGGGGTATATAAACTAGCATCGATTTTAAAGGCTTGAACAGGGGGGGGAGCCTTATAATGGGGCTGCTTTATAGATGGCGATATACGGTACTCAAATGACTCTTATATTTTATCTTGTTTCTTAAAATACAATTCATAGGGATAGGTGCTCTCTTCATTCAGTTTCTTTATAGATCTTTACTAGGCAAAGGCACTTATGAAGATCCGGGATAGAATAGTCTTCAGCAACCCATGTTTGCCCTAAACGGCGACTATGTTTGTCGTAAGAGGCTACTAACGGGATTGGGTGGTCAGACTCACTGACTTGGTTGAAGCATGTCATCGTATCCCAATTGCATTGATAGATGCTCATGATGTTAATCACTAGATTGTCTGGTCCAGACTCAACTATTTACAGACTTCTGTAATACAGTTGGAATATTGCTTAGTGAAGCGTAAACAACAAACCAACAAACAAACTAGGCAAAGGTAAACACTAAATTAATACATAAAACAAATAAAACACCACCAAATACATTATCCAAAACTCTTGACAGTAGCTAATATATCATGAAAGGTTTGCATGATAGATTTCAGTTAGCTCTCAGGGCAAATATAGGTCTTGAGGACATACAGCCTCCCCATCTCTATTTGGGAGTTTACAGTCCAAGGGAGACAACTCAATAAAGGTTTGTGCCCTTCCAGCAAACACACATAACGTGTTATACCTGGAGCGTGCATCTGTCAACTGGTTTGGTCTCGGGGCTTGTGACGCTCCCTGTAGCACTCCCTGTGGAGCTCCCTGTGGCACTCCCTGTGGCAGCCTTCTTGTTGGGAGACTCACAGTCAGCAACGTTCTCCGATGATAGGCCGTGAACCCTCATGACCTTTGCCTTGTCCCGATCCTCTGCAATTTGCTGTAGGATTCTGGCCCGCTCCTGGAGGCAGAGAGAGGGTGCCGGTGAGTTGTGATCATGGTGGTTAGAAGATATGCATTATGTGATTTCAGATTCTAGTGTTATTGAGGATTTAATGCCCGGAATTTTATTTAGAACCTACAACGTATGTCAGAGTGAGTGAGTGAGTATGGTTTTACGCCGCTTTTAGCAATATTCCAGCAATATCACGGCGGGGGACACCAGAAATGGGCTTCACACATTGTACCCATGTCGGGAATCGAACCCGGGTCTTCGGCGTGACGAGCGAAGGCTTTAACCACTAGGCTACCCGACCGCCCCACGTATGTTAGAGGTTTCAAGTGTTAAAATTGTTACAAGATGCTGAAATATACCCCTCATCCCACCCCTAGCTACTAGGACTGTATGGTGTTACCGTTATACCACAATACGCTTTTCAAACGATATGTATTGTAAAATTTTTCTGTGTTCTGGTATATTGTGTAAAAGAAATCTAAAAAGCTTTATTAGCTGTATCTTGTAGTCTAAAATCGACACAGAAATTCATTCACAAATGATTTCCCTTCAAAATTATGAATACAATTTTTGGACCAATACAGAGCTCTCCTACCTGATCAATCTCCAACACGTCCCAAGACAAGCCCACTAGGGCTGGGACGGGAACTTGGGTATCCGGGTCGGGTGGGTACTGAGTAGGACCCGGGTACCCACAGGACTACCCGAACCCATGGTTAGTCACGTGATACATAGTTTAATGACCAAAAAGCATCTAGAACTCTATGGTTACACTACAAGTCACGAACTTGACAAATGTTCCCATTCCTTCTGAATTTTCATATCTTTGAACAAAGATATAACTTGAGTCAACTTCAGTGTATGCATGACCAGATTGTTTAATACATGTATCTAAATACGTTTTGCCAGTGCTGTGGTAACAAAATGCCCAATCGGACTCGTCCCAGCCTTAAAATCCACCATAAAATTATATAAGGTACAGCAAGATCTTGGACATGTTGCACATACAATTTCTTGATCAAACAAAAATATTAGCAACTGATAAGAAAATCCAAGCAGACTCCCCAGCCCATTACAGTCACTTCTACCTGTTTTGCTTTCATCTTTTCCTCTTTCGCTTGCTTCTGTGCTTCTTCTCTCACTCTTTCTTCAAACTTGTTCTTGACCTTCCGCTGCTGTGATGAGAGATGCAGACGACTGACCACCAGATCCTCTGCCTCCTGCTCTCCAGCTGCTGAAGAGGATGCTGCCTGGCCCGTCGTGTCCGGCTTCGCGGATGGTTCGGGTAGAGAAATGGGGTTCACAAATGGATTGGAGGAAGCTGCATTTGTATCCTGGAAAGGAAGTGATATGGGATGTGTTCACATCATTTGTGTCTTTGTTTATCAGAGAGAATGAGTAAATGTAATGAGAAAATTGTGTAAATTTTACATTCCATTGTGTATTTATATACTATCCTATCTCACACTATGCATTTCTTCCATCTTCTTTTAATCCTTCTGTGGAAACCTTCTTGAACAAAGTTTCCAGCTTCTAAAAATAATTCACCCAAACACATCCCAGCATCACCATGGTCACAACGCAAACAAATGGGTCACCCACTCTAATCCCATGCACAGCAACCTACACGACATGATCACTTGACAACCCCCGCCACATCATTCTCTTTCTTAGAGCTAACAGGCTAAAGGGGCTGTGATGCGGGGATGGCCGGGAGGGCACAGGTTGTGTGAGATAGGATAGGTGAATAGGACATAAAAATATACAATTTAATATAATATTTACAAGTTTTTAAACTTATCCTATCTCACATTATGCATTTATTCTACAGTTTGATGGTGGGGTGCAGATACCCTAGCCTGTGTAGACAACAACCGTGAGACGGACACAAAAACATTATCTATAACACTGTAAAGACAAGAACCTGTGAGCGGGAAATCACATCATAACAGGCGATATGATCCCTATATATTAGTCAGCATGAAATCGCACATAACATGCATTATATGGTTTAACGTATGACATCGTTTCATGAATGGCCGCGTAGCTGTGAATAGCGATCTATTAAGTGTACGAATTATCTTCGATCCGGAAAGGCTTCCAGTTTATCGATTCTTCAAAACAGACCGCACATCTATCTTCGACAGAAAACATTTCAGCATCTCTTTAATGCTTCATCAAAGCCTTCAATCTCGTCCAAGGGATTGAAGCATGCTCAGAAGCAAAGAGGAACTATTGACGATATTCATAAGAGGATCATCAAACCAATACAGATACATCACGTCCACAAGGGAGAGGTGAGTAGGTAAGGGCTCGGGAGACCACTGAAATGGCCGCGACTAGCGACAAGTTCAATATTGAAGACCAGGGTCTCTACAGACGAGATGTCTCACCCTCAAATGGGTACTCAGTCTGGAAAGCCGAAAAATAAAGACAATAAACACAGGAGTGATAGTTCCAAGATTTATTTTGTATTTTTAGGATAAGTAGCACTGACACTAGCAGGAGCGGGTACCCGTATTGTCTGTCTGCCCTGGTGTGCAGTTGTCAACTGTTGTGCCAGGACCATGGGACCGACCTGGTGGAGGCCCTGAACGTTGGTGACGGAGACGTCTTGTAGATAATGTGAAGCAAAGACGGTATCAGACTTCCAAAAGCATCACTCCATAATGGCGGACAGGTAGCTGTGCAAGGCTCAAGTTTCATGTGCATTGGATGTCATGGGAGGACGCAATCCAGTGAAGGCGCAGGCCCGCAGAATAGTCAAACAAAGCCAAAAGGAGACTTCGTTTGTGGCCGCAGTAGAAAGTGGGATGAAGAGTCTCTTGTGGGTGCACCGAAGTGGTCTCAAAGCCTCTAGTGCTCAAGTGCTCTAACCGGGCATAAAGAGATATCTTCATGGTCATCTGGGCTTAGGATTGACACCAGCGACGGGATGGTAAACAAACGGTCTTACTGTCCCGAAAGAATCAGTTTCCGGGACAGTAAGACCGTTTGTTTACCATCCCGGAAACTGATTCTTTGCGATGAAGTCCCAGTGAAGGCCCAGAAAGACCTTCCCATTCTGTAATCTCTTAAACTGAACACTGATCAGCATGGATCTCACTCACTCTAGCAGCAGTTGCAAGGGCCAGGAAGAAAAACATCTTAAAGGTGATCAACTCCAAGTCCTTGTACCTAGTGGTTCATGCTCTGCAGAAACATTTCGGAAAAAAATGACTCAACAGGTAACACTGATACCAGAGCCTCAGTAACCAAGGCAAGTCTAGATACTGTGCCAAAGATTCAAAACTGGCATAATTTTACCACATTGAACATGAATTTCTTTACGAAATCATATTGAAGTACAGTAGAACATGGATATAATGAACTACAAGAGACCAGAGACCAGTTTGTTTTATACGTTTTCACTCAGAAATGTCAGCCATCTTGGATAAAACAAAACACAATACACGTAATTGCAGCATTGACTTGTATAAGAAGTGATCACATCATTGCATTCAACTGATAACATTTCATAACATTTATTTAATAACATTAAATTCATACATTATTAGAACCTTGTTTATAAAATATAAACAAATCAGTACACGATTTACATACGAGGGAGATGTGTAGTCGGTATTTTGCTCTGGCCTTGTTTTGCTGACTGCATTTGTGAAACTGGATAGGGTTAATGTCTGTTTTACAGACAAGATTAGTCCAACTACATGTGCAGGTAAGATTAACATAAAGCAAGTTTAACAAGGTTGAATCGTCACTGCTGATTGTATTGATTCGCCACGATTGTGTTGATTCGCAGCTGATTGCGTATAGCCAATTGTCAGCGACACTTGACACTGTGTGAGATTTTTCAGTTTGCTACACGCATCACTAATAAGTGGTATTTGGGCTTGTCGGGGATCAGATATCAGTTCGCTATATACGTTAGTTCGCTGTAGCCGTTCATTTTATATAATGGTTGGTTTGTTGTTTAACGCCGCACTCAGCAATATTACAGCTATAGGACGGCGGTCTGTAAATAATCGAGTATGGACCAGACAATCCAGTGATTAATATCATGAGCATCGATCCACGCAATTGGGACCGATGACATGTATGCTGTTTGACCCTTAATGGCTGACCCTAGCAAGGTCATGGTCATTTAATCAAAACAAATAAAACATGATTCACCCTGACTCTCCACCCTGTTGATAATGAATACTCGTTGATCAAGACAAGGTCAACCAGTTTTGACAGGTGAAGATCCTACCTTTGACAACTTCAGTGTGGGCTGAGCACTATCTTTTGCCATCCCAGGTTTACCAGCGATTATCCTGAAATTCAAAAATATCCATGAGAATAACTGCAGGCAGCCATACATCATGCCTTGTGTCTAACTCCATTGATCTGAAAGGTAGTGTGCCCAGTAAGTGAGTGTTTGTTTGTTCTTTAACACCGCACTCAGTAATATTCCAGCTATATGACGCCGGTCTGTAAGCAATCGAGGCTGGACCAGAAAATTCAGTGATTGACAACATGAGCATCGATCCACGCAAATGGGATCGATGACATGCATCAACCAAGTCAGCGAGCCTGACCACCTGACCCCGTTAGTCTTACGACAAGTATAGTTGCCTTTTACGGTAAGCATGGGTTGCTGAAGACCTTTTCTACCCCGGATCTTCACGGGCCAGTAAGTTAATGAGTTGGGACTAACCGCTTTGAACAGTATTTCAGTTATATCAAAGCCTGGCAGCTAAATGTTGGGGGCAAGCCCTAAGTGATGCACGTCTCAGATGTTTACCAATTTGGTGAACTACAGGATCAAGGTTATAGCACTGACAAACCTAGAAACATAATCGGGTGAACCAGGATTTGAACCCACAATCATGGATGTCTGGTGTACTCAAGGGACACAACTCTGCATAGCGAATTGCAGCCATACATCATGCCTTGTGTCTGAATTTGTTTATCTGAATGGTTGTGTGCCCAGTAAGTGAGTTGGGACTAACCGCTTTGAACAGTATTTCAGTTATATCAAAGCCTGGCAGCTTAATGTTGGGGACAAGCCCTAAGTGATGCAGGTCTCAGACGTTTACCAATTTGGTGAAATACAGGATCAAGGTTATAGCACTGACAAACCTAGAAACATAATCAGGTGAACCAGGATTTGAGCCCACAATCATTGATGTCTGGTGTGCTCAAGGGACACAACTCTGCACAGGTAATTGCGCCATCACAAACGACTGGGTCACACGTGTGACTGGTATAATTACCCATTGCAACAAAAGGCAAGGTGTGATACCAGAAATGTCAAATTTTCTTGGATCCCATTATGCTTAAGTATGACAAATGTAAGTGAGTGAGTGAGTTGAGTTAATCGCCGCTTTTAACAGTATTCCAGTTGTATCACGGCGTGTCAGCTTAGTTTCGGAGGAAAGCCCCAAGTAATGCAGATGTTTACCACTTCGGTGAAACCCATGAGCACGGGTATGGTGCTGACAAACCTAAAAACATAATCGGGGCGAAGCGGGATTCGAACCCAACAATCATAGGTTTCTAGCGTGCCTAAGGGACACAACTCTGCACCGCGAATCGTGGCACCTTAGACGACTGGGCTACACGTCCCCACGGCAAATATAAGTAGAAAAGGCTGATATTTCAAACATCATGAAAGAATATAACAATGAGCAAGTCCATGACCTAAGAAAAGTGTATTGCTCAATGTTCATTTTAACAGTACTGTTCTCATGTTCAGTTTTAAAGCAAATCAGCCAAAGACTTAGTCATCCTGCTCATGTTCAAACATTAGAGACCAAGTGGTAGAGCATCTGCCCAGAGAGCGGAAGGTCCAGGGTTTGACCCCCTGCCGCATCATACCAATACGTTAAAAGATGGTACTTGTTATTACCCTGTCTGGCGCTCGGCATTCACAGTTGTACTCTTTGGAAAGTGAGGGGCGGTCGGGTAGCCTAGTGGTTAAAGCATTCACTCGTCAAGCCGAAGACCTGGGTTCGATTCCCAACATGGGTACAATGTGTGAAACCCATTTTGGGTGTCCCCTGCCGTGATATTAGTTGAATATTGCTAAAAGCGGCGTAAAACCATACTCCCTCACTCACTTTGGAGGGTGAAGTTTCTGGATTATAGTTGAGAGAGAGAGTTTGTTTTCACATCGCTTTTATCTAAATTCCAGCAATATCTTTACAAATGAAACCACTAGAAAGGTGCTAAATACATGGTACCAATGTCGGGAAAAAGACGGGTCTCAGGCGTAACAAGCGAATGCTTTAACCACAAGGAAACTGCATCGCCCTTGATTATGGTTCAAGAAAACAAGGATTCAACTAGTTTTTAATGGTTCTTTTTTGTACTGTCAGTGAAACAAGGGCCTATATCAATATTCATGATACAATATTAATCATAGGCGGATCCAGAGGGTGGGGGTGGGGAGAGTACAGACCCCGCCTTTTGAAAACCAAATGTAGTATATCCGCCCCTGTTAATGAAACTTATACTGTTGTATAACCCAACTTCACCTTTAAATAATGCAGATATTGGCACCATACACCTACCACTCCACAGCTTCTTGGACTGAGATTTTCCCATACTGTACAGCATCCTGGCAGTCGGGCAGCTCGAACCCCATGGCCATCAGCTGGACTATCATGTCGTCCATCGTCTGAAACAGAGCTCCAGGCTGAGATATGCTGCTTAAAAGCGTAAAATACCAAAATAAATCATCATAACTTTGAGTTGATTGTATACAAATATACATGAAAAATGTCAAAAAGACAATAGTATAACATCAACAGAATATTGTGTTACCACCCATTTTACGGTGAATTGGAAATTACTCGATTCTGATTGTCAGTCAGAGGTGGTTAAATCATGGATGCATCACTATGAAAGCTAATATTCATAGAACATGTAGAATAGTATTTTTTTAGTCATTGTCGGTACGCATATTTAAATAATTGTATCTACAATTACAGGTTACAAAATGCAAAATTGAGGTTACTATGGTATTCAGAGGATGTGTAGCAATACATTTAAATCAGAAAACATGATAGCAATCTACAAAGAGAATGTATTTTAAGTTTTGAGGACAACAGAGAGCTTGGAATTTTGCCCTTTTTTATATACGACTGTGATGTAATATCACAATACGCCAGGCCCTCCTTGCATTTGTGCATACATTAGTATCATAAAACGTTATAACATCATCAGCATGTTACTCAACATTGTGTTGACATGATGACAGTAATGGATTTAACTACTGATTTCTGGCACTACTTGTGAGTTCCAGTTAGAGAATGCTTACTAAATTCCACAATTATCAACATGGTCAAATGTTATTTACAAACATATTTACAAACTACTGTTGTTGACTCCAACCATATTGTAACCTATGTTTATGTTGGGCTCAAGTTAGCTATATTAAAAATGCATCAGTGCAACCAATTAATGAAAAATGCAAACTAATATATATGTCTACATGCACCAAGTGCATAACATGCAAACATAAATTATTTGACATGGTTTGTTAATTATTAATATATTATACATTTATATACTGCACTTATCCAGGAACTAGTATCTGCACAAATGCGACAATGACCAGTGACCACAATACTGTCAAATTAAATATTATAAGAGTGTTGTCTTTTGAAGACATCTATGCATATAATATGTTCTTATGGATATTTTTAGGTACAGGGAATGTAAATGCACATGATTGCATATTCATAAATATTCGATTCTAGTGGCCACGGATAACGAATTCAATTCATGAATGGATACGGTTTGATTCACCGAATACGTGAGTGAATTGTTACAGCCCTACTCAATACCTCTAAGCTTTATTTTTCATACTACATACTATGGCAACAAAAGACACAACAAATTTCTTATGCCGAAATATTTACACTACCTAGTATCTTTGTCTCACATGTCATGTCAAAATGAAAACTTGACACTTACAAGCAGCATAAAATTCAATGTAAACACAAACATTAACAATGGAATATATAATGCACTAAATGTGAACGTTGAATCAAGTATTATAGCTAAAATGGATAGAATTATCACAAAAATACCCATGTCATCAGAAATCTGTGGGCCACTGTTACCGTGAGAGCAGCCCACTTTTCCCTAACGACAGGCTGCTATCTATTCTACTATGTGATATTTGGCGTCATGGTTTTTGTTTGTGACGTCATCTCATATTATGTTCTATCACCTTGTTATTTGTAAATCAATGTTTTTTTGAACGGACACAAAATGTATCTAGATCTAGTTGTTTTGTTCTTTTGGGGATTAACTACAAATCCTATCCATGTTAGCTTTAATAACGCCAACATTATTTTTAGGGTATTATCATTTGCAGAAGGCCTCTGTCTGTCTGCCCTCCTTCCTCAGCTTCTTAATTTTTAATAATTATATTTATTGATGAAGTCACGCACAGGATTTCTTTTAAAATGTATGTCCTTGCTAATCACAATTAATGGTATTTAAACACAAAACAGTGTCGAATAACGAATTACTGTACCAGAAATTGTATGTGAAATATGTGAGGTGGGTTTTGGAAAATCCACGATGACTTTTGCTGACGGTATACAGTCTCATAATAGGTCAGTAACAACAATCTTGGAATTTTATAGACGGTATACGGGCTCATATGGTGTTAGTAGTTATGCTCTCTGATAGTCAATCTCACGTTGAGTCATAGTTAGCTTTTATAACATCTAAATTCGGGGACATATGACGTTTATCATTAGGTCTGTTATGAGCGGGTCGGAAAGATTGGAATCGGATTAGAAATAATGTGTTCAATGTTAATTGATGAAATTAACGTGTGCTCGGTATTTGGTCACATAAGTTATTTTATTTAGACGTAACAACATTTTGATTCGCTGTATCCACGACGAGTAAATCATGCAAGGCCTACACGACTTCTGCAATCTACGTCACCGAGAGCTTTATATGGCTTCGCTCAAAAAGCATATTTTGAAGGAAATGATTACTGATCGTGCAGTGCAAGGCCATCTAAGACCAGTGTTCCTCACTAGGGGTATTCAAATTTCATGACACACGTCTAGATTAGCAATGCTACACAATGTTTTGATTTCTCAGCTGAACCCTTGTTTACCTGCGTCGCCATTTTTGGTTTCACCAAGAAAGTAGTACAATGGATAATATATGTGATTCGGAGCAAGCATTGAAATATTCATTTATCTGTATTTATGTCAATCATAATTACCACACCTTCTTTATTACATTGAAAAATAATACCACTTACAGATACGTTCGTATTTTGATAAGATATCTGTGATAAAACAACATGCTATTTATCGAGTAGAATACTCTAGCATTATACAAAACTAGAATCGTTTACAAACACGATTTATGATTTTATGTAGAAACGGAATGGCGCATTAATGAGATCCGTTTTCTTGGCATCACAGTTATTTCTTGCCATATGTTATTCTGTCACCCAGACACTAGTGAATAATAACACAGAATTCCAACTCAAGCCTTGAATGTAGCATTGTACTGAGATCGATTTTGATTTTGGCCGGTATAGTGGGGCGGTTAAGGCTGTATTTTAGTCACAATTGTGCACTTTGGGTTAAAAGCACCAAACTTGGCACACTTATACATTGAACCATTCAAAACATTTCTGGATATGGATCTACCTCTACCTGGTGGTAGAAAATCCAAGATGGCCGCCAAAATGGTTCAAATCTCTTTTGATGTCAATTTATATTCAATATATCATAATTATTTTGTCAATTTTAGTCATTTATGTAAATTTAATTGCAACGATGGTGTATATAATTCAAATCTAATATGCCGCGCCCACTGGTGGCGAAGAAAATCCAAGATGGCCGCCAAAATGACTTAAACTTCAAAAAATGTCAGTTGTTGGTTCACAATATCAGTATCATTTATTCATTGCAACCATTTCAATCAAATCTGACTTTAAAACAATTCCAAGTAATGCTTTACTGAATGTATAAGTTTTTGATACTAAAATTCATTCATTTGAAGCATGATCTGTATTCCGTAAGGCAGATCTGGGGAATATATTAGACTGCATGAACTTGGTTTAAAATCTGTAACTGAACTTGGAATTAGATAAAAATATTGGACCAGCTCTAAAACATGCCTTTTTAATTCTGAATTATTAAGGCTAACTAACCGAGCAACACTTATCCGCAGACGTGATTTTAGGTTGAAACAAACTTTCAGGGGAACACTTCCTTCTGACTGCCATAAACAGCATGTACCTGCCTCTTTGAAAGCTCTAGTCAGTTTGGAATCTGAAGGACCAGGGATAAAAAACAATCCTCAATCATCCCAAACTATCTAAGAACATCTTGTCTTCAAAGCGTGAAATGTCGGTGCACCAGCTCATCAACACAAAGACACCACTGAGACCGAGAAATGCAAGTCCCAGTTTACTTGGTATTAAACAAGAAAATGTGATCTTGTTGACACATTTTACAATATGGGTTTGTGCATTTAGCATGACTGTCTGGTGTATTTCAACAGATATAGCACAGTTTGTGGTGTTTGTGAAGACGAAGGTGCTCTACAACAGCAACATATCCACTTCACGGTACCAGCATTTCACTATTGCAGCAGCGTCCAAAAGCTGAAGAGGAAGGAACATCACAGGTTGTTCTTTTGGCTGAAGAATGCACACAAACAAGGAAAACCATTTCCAAACTGCCCACAGTATATACTAATGTAACCCCATCCTGTTTTAGCAAGATGGGTAATTATGTGCCTCATTTAAGAGGACCTTACACCCAGGATGTAGATAGTGTTCACACAAAGCCTGACCATGAGTAAAACTGGTCATATCACATGAAGGATGTACTGGGAAAACAAGACAAACAATTCCTCCAAAACCAATTGCCCATATGCCAATGTTCTAGAATGTGCACACTCTGTTGCTTAGATACAGCATTTAATTAATGTGGTAGAAAAGGGTATTGAACATTTGAATCCTGGTCAAATGCATTTGCTTGCCTTAGATGAACCACTATACACAATTGATAAAACAACCCAGTGGAACTGTCCTGAATTATATGATGAAGTTCCTTATCATGTTTGGTAGATTTTCATATTGAAATAGTTGCTTTCAGGATTCTCAGAAACTGTCCCGAAGAAAGTAGACGGAAAACTGCAATCTGTACTGCTGGAATTGCCTCAGGCAGATTTGCGGATTCCTTCATCATGTGTACCCACCCTGCTACAACATCAGGCATATGTGCGATATAAGGAAACAGAAGCGAACACAGAGGATACTTTCAGAAACTGGTTTGAACTGAAGTAAGCTGCCCAGCCCGTTTCAACTACTTGTTCTTGAAAACGAACTTTGCATATTGTGCCTGGTGGGTGCAATTCAAAAAGCAGATTTCCAAAAGTTTGCAGCATCACTTGCCATATTAATGACTTGCATTTCACAGATATGTCCCTCTCACAGTAGAGCACGAGCACCGCTGTACCACGAACATTGTTCCGGTGGATTAGTGACACACAAGACTAAACGGAATTCTCTGGTGTGGCACAAGGTCAGACACATGAACAATTCAACAGCCGTATGGACGGAGATGGAGGTGCATTTGGATTGACTGAAACAGCTGAGAGTTTTCTTCTAGAGGCCCGGGGGCACTGGTGCTCGTGGGTTTCACCGAAGTGGTAAACGTTTGAGACCTGCATCACTTCGAGCTTTCCTTCCACATTAAGCTGACACGCCGTGATATAACTGGAATACTGTTAAAAGCGGTATTAAATCCAACTCACTCACTCACTCATTCTAGAGGCCCACGGAATTAAAAGACATTGTCTCTATTTCATGTTTTCACCGGTTCATATGCTTGGGATACGTGTCAAGTATTTCATGAAGTCACCAATGCTTTCCCATCATCAGCAGATATCTCTGACAAGACAATGCAGATTCTTGAGAGGTTTGTCGTTCGCACTGGTTTATTTGGAAGGTCATGTGAGAGTATGGCGGATGGCGTTTCAGGTGTTGAGTTGGAAGGTAGAGGCTGGTGTTTCAGGCGATGTGTGGGTGGTGGGCAGCAGGCTGAAGTTTGTGGGGGCGGTGGGGTAGCCTAGTGGTTAAAGCGATCGCTCGTCACGTCGAAGACCCGGGTTCGATTCCCGACATGGGTACAGTGTGAAGCCCATTTCTGCTGTCCCCCGCCGTGATATTGCTGGAATATTGCAAAGAGCGGCGTAAAACAATACTCACTCACTCACTGAAGTTTGTGTTGATGTGACGTAAGCCTTATAATCGTTCTTACACTTTTCTATAAACAAACCGGGGCGGTCGGGTAGCCTAGTGGTTAAAGCGATCCTTCGTCACGCCGAAGACCTGGGTTCGATTCCCGACATGGGTACAATGAGTGAAGCCCATTGCTGGTGTCCCCCGCCGTGATATTGCTGGAATATTACAAAAAGCGGCGTAAAACAATACTCACTCACTCACTGAAGTTTGTGTTGATGTGACGTAAGCCTTATAATCGGTCTTACACTTTTCTATAAACAAACCAGGGCGGTCGGGTAGCCTAGTGGTTAAAGCGATCGCTCGTCACGCTGAAGACCCGGGTTCGATTCCCGACATGGGTACAATGTGTGAAGCCCATTTCTGGTGTCGCCCGCCGTGATATTGCTGGAATATTGCAAAAATCGGCGTAAAACAATACTCACTCACTCACTGAAGTTTGTGTTGATGTGATGTAAGCCTTATAATCGGTCTTACACTTTTCTATAAACAAACCGGGGCGGTCGGGTAGCCTAGTGGTTAAAGCGATCGCTCGTCACGCCGAAGACCCGGGTTCGATTCCCGACATGGGTACAATGTGTGAAGACCATTTCTGGTGTCGCCCGCCGTGATATTGCTGGAATATTGCAAAAATCGGCGTAAAACAATACTCACTCACTCACTGAAGTTTGTGTTGATGTGACGTAAGCCTTATAATCGGTCTTACACTTTTCTATAAACAAACCGTGGCGGTCGGGTAGCCTAGTGGTTAAAGCGATCGCTCGTCACGCCGAAGACCCGGGTTCGATTCCCGACATGGGTACAATGTGTGAAGACCATTTCTGGTGTCGCCCGCCGTGATATTGCTGGAATATTGCAAAAAGCGGCGTAAAACAATACTCACTCACTCACTGAAGTTTGTGTTGATGTGACGTAAGCCTTATAATCGGTCTTACACTTTTCTATAAATAAACCGGGGCGGTCGGGTAGCCTAGTGGTTAAAGCGATCGCTCGTCACGCCGAAGACCCGGGTCCGATTCCCGACATGGGTACAATGTGTGAAGCCCATTTCTGGTGTCCCCCGCCGTGATATTGCTGGAATATTGCAAAAATCGGCGTAAAACAATACTCACTCACTCACTGAAGTTTGTGTTGATGTGACGTAAGCCTTATAATCGGTCTTACACTTTTCTATAAACAAACCGGGGCGGTCGGGTAGCCTAGTGGTTAAAGCGATCGCTCGTCACGCCGAAGACCCGGGTTCGATTCGTGACATGGATACAATGTGTGAAGCCCATATCTGGTGTCCCCCGCCGTGATATTGCTGGAATATTGCAAAAAGCGGTGTAAAACAATACTCACTCACTCACTGAAGTTTGTGTTGATGTGATGTAAGCCTTATAATCGGTCTTACACTTTTCTATAAACAAACCGGGGCGGTCGGGTAGCCTAGTTGTTAAAGCGATCGCTCGTCACGCCGAAGACCCGGGTTCGATTCCCGACATGGGTACAATGTGTGAAGCCCATTTCTGGTGTCGCCCGCCGTGATATTGCTGGAATATTGCAAAAATCGGCGTAAAACAATACTCACTCACTCACTGAAGTTTGTGTTGATGTGACGTAAGCCTTATAATCGGTCTTACACTTTTCTATAAACAAACCGGGGCGGTCGGGTAGCCTAGTGGTTAAAGCGATCGCTCGTCACGCTGAAGACCCGGGTTCGATTCCCGACATGGGTACAATGTGTGAAGCCCATTTCTGGTGTCCCCCGCCGTGATATTGCTGGAATATTGCAAAAATCGGCGTAAAACAATACTCACTCACTCACTGAAGTTTGTGTTGATGTGACATAAGCCTTATAATCGGTCTTACACTTTTCTATAAACAAACCGGG